CCTGATTCACATAAATTATACATGACAACAGATATTAATGCAAGAAGCCAATTATGCAAAATAAAAATACATTAATTATTAAATAAATTATTAATAAATAATAAACAATTAGCTGACATGCAGTGCAAACAAAAATATATTTTCCTTTAAGAAGCAAACCAGATGTCTATACTGCAATGAAGTTCACAGAGAAGGATTTTAATTTTAATTAACAAATTGTAATCATTAAAAGTACTGTAAAATATGTATTAGAAGCAGCGGCTTCTATTAAAATGATACAATGCAACAGAGGAGATGCGGCTTCTATTAGAGCATCTACACATATGAGAAATGATGAATTTTTGGTTCTCAATTATTCAAAAATAATGGGTGCGACTTATATTAGAGATGCGGCTTCTATTAGAGCATCTACACATATGAGAAATGATGAATTTTTGGTTCTCAATTATTCAAAAAGATTGGATGCGACTTCTAATACAGATTTTACGGTAATTCATTACTGCTTTTTGAACTGAATGTTACATTGTAACATAACACAACAGTGGAATTACAGAATTGCAATTGTACAAAAAGAATGGGTGCGACTTCTATTAGGGATGCGGCTTCTAATCCACAACAGTGGAATAACAGAATTGCAATTACATATTATTGTACATACTTGTACAAAACAATGCATTAATATTTCATGGACTGCCACTAAATCAGAATTTAGTAACTAGCAAGGTATAAAAACTTGAATTCAAATAGGTGATTTTCCGTACAATTGCGAGATCTCGCGAGATGCATGAAAGACGCGCGTCGAACGTCTGCCGCAAAAATCAAACGATTTGATTTTGAACTCGAATTTCCTTATTTCGTAGCTCACACCGACCGGCCGATCTTCGACAGAGGAGTATTGCTTCCGAATACCCTTACTTAATCAAAATTGCCTATCATCAAATGTGGACAGCACATTATTAAGCATGGAAATGTCCCCGAAATACTTTGGCGTTTGTCGAATCCCACGCGATGTTTGACGCGACTACGACGCTATGACCTTTGTTTGTCCTGTTTTTACGTTCGATTTCACGCATAACGCGTGATTCTCGCAGTGTACGGAAAATGGTCCATTAACATCCACAATATAAGATGTTTGCATTTCAGTCATTTAACTCAAAATATGACAGTCATGCTGCTCATGTTTGAATTTTGCGTATTGTGTAGTACTGGTATGCCACATTGAATCAAAATTAAAAAAATATGAACTCTGAAATATGGTTTTATTTCGCTTAAGTTCAAATTGTACACACATAATCTAATTTACAGGATAGCTAGTGAGGGTTGAATTTCTGCAGTAGAGATAATCGACTTGCTTCTCAGTTAACACATGTCCTACCTTAAAAATGTTAGAAATGAAAGTATAAACAACAAACATGCCAAGACATCAGCTCTACCAACAATACCAGTCACCTTCAATATGATGAAAACAATAAATTATTTACATCACTCCACAGAAAGTAAAAAAATAAAATCCCCCCCCCCCCTATCACAGACTCTACAATAGCAGCTGTATTTCAGATATTGGCATATCTAGTGCATGATATAAATAGTATTTAAGTTTAAAATGATGATGATTACGCCAGGGATGCAATTTCCAGGTTGGTGAAAGGAAGAAAAATTGTGTAAGTAAGTAGAAAGGCATGTGGGAAAGTTGTTTTTCGAGGACAAATTTTAATTGGTTGATCACTGCATATGGACTATATATACCGGTAACATATTTTCTGTTTTAAGATTATGTGTTTGAAAATTGCTAGAAAATATTATAAATATATTTTGCAGTCATAAAATTCAATTTTGAAGTTGTCTAGAAAAATAGATGGCCAAAACATCAAAGGGACTGCAGTTTGCATCAAGGTAAGTTGCTGAATCAGGATAACTGTGAGCGAATAAGCAATCCAGCAGTATTGCACTACCAGTATATTGATACCAGCTTACCTTTACCGACTGTTCAACCTTTAAATAGTGCCATTTTGTTTGTAAAACAGTGAGATATATTGCAATACAACTGGTTGGGTTGCATTTTTGTTCACAGAAAAGACCGACCACTGCTAACACACTCAGTATCAACAGAGGAATTTCATGATGAAATATTGCGCTGTTCACTAGAACTGGTGATGCCCAAACTAGTTTTTTAAAACTATGCTTTTTTTTATGAATTTTGATCAATTTTACGGCCACCATAGTAGAGGAATCACAAAGTCATTGTTTCCATGGAAACAAGTTCAGGTACAATCTTGCTCGTTGTTTAATTAAAATTATTTTCCAAATTTTCACTAATTTCACGAGTTAGCAGTGTCTATCCTTGAAATGATTAAAAACGCAACAGCTTCTAGTGGAAAAGTATGACAAGAATTAAACACAGACATGAACAATAAATCAAAGTTATACATTCATTGATTGTTATATACACCATGCAAAAACACAGTACATATAGCCATGCACAGATACTTATATTGCTGCTATAAATTAAATAATAATAAATTAAATCAACCAAATAGAAGTAGATATCCAGTGCCACCATGCAGAATATAAATCCTAGCAAGGTCACAGCTTACCATGAAAATACTGGTGGTCAATGTTAATTTTAAAATTGACACTTCAACTATCTACAAGGAGTGGATCAAGAATTGTTGGCCTATTGTAAAACATTGGCCAGTTGCCAATTGCACAGGTATACACTGTATAATCTGTTAAGAGTGTATCTCCAATAGAAATGCATTTCAACTTAAAATTATCTGTTTTTGAGGGATTTTTACACAAAACTTACACTATTTTTTTGCAAAGTTTATACTCTGCTGCATACATAAGTAATTCAAGAAAAATATTTAAAGAGGTTAGAGTATTTTCAATATTTACAGTTATCACACCATTATCCGTACACACACCCTTAAATATTAAAAAAAAACAATGATTCAACATTTTACTTTTATTCACAATATGGATTCACTTTTCTGGTAATTTGGCAAAAACATGCAGATATCACAATGGACAAGTTTATATTTAATGGTTCAATGCTGTTCTATAAAACTGACATTCTTCCAAATTAAATTGTTATTCCACCATCCCTCTATTACTGCAAAAGAAATCTTCTTCATGCAATTCCTGATCCCTGAATTACCGTCAGACGCAATGTAATTCTATTGGCGCATACGTGGGACAAAAATATAAAAATCAAAATAACACCTGTAGAAATGCAACCCGGAAAGAGTTAGCGACATATTTTAAACAGCTTTTTAGAGATAGCGAAATGAGTGTGGGTGGGTACAAAAGAGGGCAGCTTGAAGAACTATTTAAGACAGCTGAGAAACTGGGATGTCCAATTGAAAAAATATGATGGTAGGTGTGTTTCACAGAGTAAATTATATGACTGTGACATAGTTTTTCAACTTACAAAATACTCGCAAAAAATATGAAAATATTACGCTATAGCCAAGGATAATTTGCATACTTGATATTCTTGCTTAGGCGAAATAGTGTGCAAATTTTCAGAGGCTGGTACGAGTTAGTTAAAATACGATGTCAGTTATTTCAGTGGAATTTTTACGTTGCGAGTTGTTCGGTGCACTGCGACTCTGCATCCCCAATTGTTTTCCACCCTTCCCATAGGAGGTAAAATGCCCTTCCACTCATACATGTAACACACACCGATCCAATAAGATTCCTCCTTCATTGTGCCCCAGCTTTCCTCGTATGTTAATAAAATTGATACTCACTGCCTCCGTATGTACTGGATGTGTGGCAAATAATAAAGCAGCAACAAACGCTGGCTTGATATCCAGGAATACAATTGTATGGCATAAGTGCAGAAACAACACTGAAACCAGCGTATGCAAAACAACATTGACGATGTGGTAACTATATGGATCCAAGCCACTTAAATAATAATTCATTCTGGAGAAAAGAAAAGAAGTATTATGTGATAGTGAGAATACTGCAAGCTGTTAAAACATATATCATTGTACCATATTACTGTTTTAATTTGGTCAATGGTCAATGAGCATTCTAGTTAGAATAGACCTTAGAAGTAAAAGAAATAGAAATAAAAAACTGCTGAGAACAGGAGTGAGAGGCATAAGACTCATTTTGCCCTCTGTTCAATTTTCTTTCGTTATCATGTCAACTGCTCCAAATACCATGATTACGTTAAGTAAAGAGAGTAATGTGATGACGTGGGAGATTGGAACATTATAAGGGGGACAAAAGCAGGTCTCACGGCGACGCTCTAAACAAAATCTCAGCAGCCATTTTCGTTTTGGGTCTATAAATTTCCCGTAGTTATATGCCATAATGGTATAGTATATGGAATCAATATATCAACAAACTAAAAACATTTTCAAATTCATGATTCTAATGGGTCGATAAATCCCAGCTTGAAGATTCCCCAGTATGCTAACTGTGCTTCAAATTCATGGAAACTTCATGAATATGGCATATATACCGTGAAAGCTATGCCATTGTGGTCAATATTCTGGAACCATCACAAGATACATCACATACATCCCCACAAAAAATGCATACGTAGGGACATTCTATTTACAGTCATATATTATATACGCTAAAAACAGTAAAGTCATGTATTATATACAGCATAACACATGATGAACCATAAATTGCATTTCAGTGTAAAATATTAGTGTTGAAGAATAAAGCTCTAGCAGTTCAGTGGACCAGATTGAACACAAGAATTATAAACTCACCTAAACGTCAATACACACAATGGCCTGTAAGATTTATGACTGGTATTATCAGACATCCTCTTCCCCCAGAAATCATTCAGAAACACATCTCTGATTGGACTGCCTGGTCTGATATCCTCATTGTCTCTGATAGCCATGATGTCATCATGAACGAAATCCCCCTCTAGACTGTTATAATAACACACAATGCACATAATGGTGATAACTGTTGTGTAAAGTAACAGTGACAACTCAGGTAAGATGAAGCCTTTTTTTATCGGTAGTATGTCCTCAGAAATCGCTGAATAAACAGGAGAAGCTTTAGTCCGATTTAAATTATCATCCAGCTGGGGATGATGGTCCGGAGATGATTTCTGTCTTTTCTTCATGCTAATATATCTTCTTTTTCCAGATTTTTCAGCAGGCTCGGAATAAATGTGTGAGTTCTGTGTTTCAAAATGACACAGTCAATCCCATAAGTTCATTTCTTCTCAAATGAATAAGCACACAATGGGTAAGGTTATTGTATTCTTGATGGTTTGACTATCTGAAAATATATGAAAGAAATGCTTCAAATACCAAGAAACAAAATAATTAAGAAAATATAGAAAGAACTGCAAAGGGGAATCAAGGGCTGAATGCATGGCATAGTATGTACATAAACTGCTAAAATATTCAACTTTGTAACTTGCTAATTTATATGCACACATTTCAGTCAAAAACATGTATATTCACTGGATTTTATTTTCACTGAATTAATTTAACCACTGAATCATATATATGATTTATATTAAAAGTTAAACTAGTTAAATTTGATAATGAAGGTTACACATTAAATTGATTATATACATTTGTACTAATCTGACCAACCCCATCCCAATCATTCACATTCACATAAAGCATGTGACTAGATACTTACCGGTAATACTTCGTCTCAAGAAACATGACACATAGACATGTACTTATCATACATAATTGTATATCACCACACTACCTCTAATTTGGCATTTTGAACTGCATTTATCTTACTTTTTTTTTAACTTCTATTTTTGTTACAGTTTTTTTTAAATTTATTACATAACAGTCGAAAATGATTTGTAAACTTTCATTATGGTGTAATAAATGAAATTATTATTATTATTATATATTTAGATTTAAAACTTGTATGGGGTAGATCATTTTGATATAGACATGCACGCACCATGGTATAGACAAAGAGCTTGTATTTTCCATAGTTGCTGAAAATTGTTCAGAATCCTTGACATACAATAGGCCATGTGAAACACTACTCACCTTATACAATTGAATATAGTTTCATCCACAAAGACCTTGTATAAGTGGTACAGCCATTTCCTGTTGAGTGACGACATCAGCATAGTAGGTTAAGTTTAAGGGATAAATGTGCTTGTATAATTAATAACATTAGAGACATTGGAATGTCTATATTATAATGAGTGAACACGTGTAGTTATGTTCAACTTTGATACCTGTATATATATATCAACAAGTAAATATATTTTTAGGACAGTGAAAACATTAACGCATCTTTGAAATCCAATTATTTGTGGCTACAGCCAAATATATATTCCATTTAAAGGTACATTCAATAACCTCTGAAAATCAAAACAAAAAAAATGTTAATTTGGTACAAATTATTTACTGTGTGTGGGGGTCACATTAAGGCACGTTCAACAACTCATTCCAACTTGTCCTAAAAAAGTTTCAAACAAACTACTGATTAAGATAATTTCTCCCGTATCCCAATGAGGACTCAAGTTTCTACTATTTCTGAATCAATTCTTGGTATGGGAGAAATGCCAGAAAACAAAACAAAAAAACACTCAACAACATTTTATATCCGGAAGTTTCACAGACCAGCTCCCTGCACATACACACGGATTCACAAATAATTTGTATAACATGTTATCGAAAGTAACAAATTTTGAAGTAACGGACCAAAATGTAGAAGTTAAATTCTGACCCCATGACAAACTCGGTTGACCTTTAATAATTAAAGGTCAACACGTACGGTGGTGTCCAGTCAGCCTCTGGCTCTGGACGTGGAGCGCCCGAGGGCATTTTAGCCCAAAGTCGTGGACCTCACTGGAAACACAAAACGAAACCTTGCTTACAAAACGGTCCAATGAATATTCCACGATTGACAGGAATTTCAAAGTGTGTCAACGCCTAAATTTCTGACATTCGAATGAAATAGAAAATGTAAACTGACCCGTGAGGTAAAGTTGGCGACAGCGCCATTTTGTTAGAACCGAAAAAGTCACTCTGAGCATAATTAACGCGCATAATGACGTAATCAAGATGGCTGCGCCCATGGACTTGGCAACTGCGGCAGCCAACGGCGATCTTGAAGTGAGTGTAATAATGAATGTATTTTACTATTTTCGTTAGTTGCACTGACTTGTCGCGTTTTATACGTCAGTAGACATGCGGACTCTTTGAGATGAATGGACGAATGAATGCGCTTATCTTTGTTGAAACTGCACAATGAGTGTGACGTGAACTGAGAGTTCCGCCCGGCGACATGTTGCTTGTTGGCTCACAGGACTACGGCTGTACTTCCTCAAAACAGGCATCAATGTCACTAAGGAAACACCCCCAAAATGAAAACTTGTTTTCTTCTTCCACAGATTAGTGTGTATTGCAGTGGTATTCTTGAAATTTCCTCACAACAAACCAAACAAAGAAAAACAATAACAACAATAGGACTTCCTGGCTTGTATTGCTAAAACATTACGGTCACTCAGCCAATAGTCGAACACTAAAATACGATCGCTTTTAACAGAGCCGCGATAGCGGCCAAAACGGAAAACTTGTCACCAATATCCAGTCAAGTAATTGCTTGATCCAAATGACGAAAATTATCGTTCGAGTCTTGACCGGGTTTCGTGTGGGTCGAAAAAATTGGACCGTGGCCTTCAGCCAGTACTCGGACACCTCATCCTATCATCGGACGTGTTTTAACGGAGGATTTAGAACAGAATAATAGACTGAAATAGGGACCATAGTTAGAAAATAATTACGTTGAGCCGTCGTAAGTCGAAAAGGTCATAGTTCACCTAATAAATACCGCTTGTAAATTTTTAAACATTTTTGGCGAAAAATAAGTACCCTGTCTCACAATGACGGGAAAAGAAAATAAACCCCCTGCATACAGATTAAATGAAAAGTGATAAAGAACATCCAGATGGCATTCACTAGTACCTTTTCTACTGCTGCAATTTATCTGTAAAAATCCAAATTAAACGTCTATAATTTACTATATAGAAAATAAAAGTTGTTACCTGTATTTGAATTCAAATTGTGTATACTATATCTTATGTTACCACTCCTTTCATGAATCTTTTTATTGATTTCTCTAAGTCAAGCCTACATCAAAAACTGGTCAAAATCTCTAAAACATTGTCAGCAACCAATCACTGACTAGCTTAAACAATAGCTTTCCCTGACGATAACGTTATTTCCCCCATGGTAGCTTGAAAAATCTTTTGTTTTTGTCTTGTTTTTGTTTCCGGTCTTAGAGAATGGAGAGCATATTCCATGTACAGTCTCTTTATAAAGGAACTGTGTTTCTTGGCAGAAAGTACTACAAATATTTACATTTATAAACTGTGTGGGGGTTGTTTATTAGATTTATTTTCAGTTTATTATCTTACTGGATCAAAAACAGATGGGGGGAAACAAAAGACAGATTACTGTAAAGGGGGTAATTATTCACTGGGTTTTAATTTAGCTTATTTCGCTGACTGGAAAAATGCGCTAAATTAAAACACAGTGAATATGTAAAATTTAGCATAGAACACATTATCCAAATGACGAAACCGTGAATTTAAAACACACTGAATATGCCTGAAATGGTAAATCAGTGAAATTTAAACCCAGTGAAAATTAGTCATTTTACAGTAGTTGTTTAATCTTTATCCTGCCACCCCTATGTACTTCTACATTTACACAGCCGCATTTAATGGAATTGTGCTCCTCCCACCAATTAACTGGAGACTATGTTTATGCAGTTGGAGACAAAAGAAAGCCCATTTCCATCTGGTTCATTCAGAGTCAAACTACTTGTTTACACAGCAATTTTTGCTGGCTGGAGCTTGCTGGCCCTGATAAAATACTGTCCTTTGACATGACTTGACCAGATAAGGGTTAAATAACAAGAACAATAGTATCCCATGACTCCATGGGGCAACCCAGAGCTCTAATTCCACAGAAATCTAAGATTCATCAGCAGTTGACAATTTCAGGATAAGTGGGCATGGCTACAACACAAGAAATATCTCATTCACTCAGATACAAGTCATCATTTTTAACAACAAAAATCAATAACTGTCTACCGGGTATATTTCAGTGGAACACAAATCCAAAACGGGAAACGTGTTTGTGGGTATTTCACAGGCACTGTAACAATGTAGAAACATAACTTTTATGCACGATTTGATTCTATAAAAGTGTGCAATTCATTTTTAAATTATTCAGATTTATTGAGATTCATATACTAATTTTTCTTTATTTTTAGTCGATAAAGTCTCTTATTCATAGTGGGGTAAACTTAAACCAGAGATCTAGAGAAGGATTTGCACCTTTATGTACAGCTGCTTTCTGGGGATACAGTGATATAGTACAATACCTGTTGAAGAATGGGTAAGTTTGTAAGCAGTCATATGAATCTACTGTAAAATGATTAAATTTTACTGGGTTTAAATTTTGCTGATTTAGCATTTCAGGCATATTCAGTGGGTTTTAAATTCACGGTTTTATCATTTAGATAATGTGTTCTATGCTAAATTAATTTTACATATTCACTGGGTTTTAATTTAGCGCATTTTCCAGTCAGCGAAATAAGCAAAATTAAAACCCAGGGAATAATTAACCTTTTTACAGTTTGTAATATTGTCTGTGGTGTCAACTACTTTTACTGGCAAGTGACTGACAGTATCACTATGGATTAATATGTTGTAGTGATTTGAGGAAACTTCAATTTAAGCATAGACCCTCTAAAACACCCTCTATGGCTTAGGTAGATAATTCTAGTGTTTATGTTTGGTGCAATAACTACTATACTACTATACTGATACATCAGAAAATATTTGACACATTTCAATGTATTCATATTTTAGGGCCAGTGTTAATTGTTGTAACAGTGGTACTGGTTGGACGGCGCTACATTGTGCTGCGTTTCAAGGACATGGTAAAGTCATTATGAAAATCATGGATCACAACCCAGATTTGACACTCAGAGATGACAAAGGAAGGTATGGCTGCTTTTTTAACCCTGACTGAAACAGTCAGGGAGCTTATAGGTAAATTAGGGTCCATCCATCTGTCTTTCCATCAGTCTGTTGCATTATCTCAAAAAATTCATGGACAGGTTTTTCCCAAACTTATTACACGGTTGATGCATGATGGTATATATATGCACCAATATTGTTTTTCTGTTCTAATACAAAATGGATGACTATATATGTTTTATATGTGTAGAGCTGGTCGATTCTGTTCAAACTTTAAATATGGGTAACACCTGTTGGCAAACTTGGGCAGATATTTTTCAGATTTTTTTTAAAAATTCACCGACTGGTGGCCATTTTGTAATGTAAATTTTCGTTCTTTTTCACACATTTTGGCTTATGTCTCAAATTTATGCAGTCCAATTAGGTTCAAACTTTGTTCACAGACATTTGTGTGCTAGCACATTAACAACAATTGATTTGGATTGAAATCTAAAGATGGTGGCCTGGTAGTCATTTTGTTTGACCAAAATCTTGCACAATTCTGCTTTTATCTTAAACTCTTGCTGCCTGGCTAGGTTTGAACTTAACGCCCAGACATCTGCATTCTACACATAAAAGTTGGGTGCTTGATGAATATCCTGGTTTTTTTTTGGCATTTTGAGTCAAAATGTCCTACTGGTGGCCATTTTGTTTCATTGTTTATCATATGTAAAGTCATTTCTCAGACATGCTTTGATCAATATGGTTAAAAAAGAATATAAATGCTGACAATAATTTGCCCTATGTTAAAGTACAAGATGTTAAAGTGCTGTTTCAAACCATAAATTTTCTTGCAGGACTGCATCTGATTTTGCATCTGCTATAGATGCTATCTGGCCGTTCTTTGCTGCAGCTGGCTGCAAAAGAACACCAAAAACAGATCTTATTAGGTTAGATGTCATTAAAAAGGTGAGTCATGTGACAATTCACTCTAAAACATAATGAAATAAATAATAAACATAGTGTAATAAATAATAAACATAGTGAAATAAATAATAAACATAGTGTAATAAGTAAAAAACATAGTGTAATGAGTAAAAAACACGTACAATACAATAAGATAAATACATTGTCTGATTATTAATTTTTCTCGCAGGTACATGAGGACGCTGCAATACCGAAATCAGATTATTCATTTTACTCCCGTCCAGGTTCAGCTTACGTCATGCAACCACAGCCAATGAGAGGAAGCGTTACAAGAACTACCGGTGATGAGAAAAGAGTAAGTCACACTTGTTTATTCTGGAGTCAGTCCAGAGCTACTTGTAAGATAGTGCCTGATTGGCTACCCAAACCTCAACATCTAACAGATAGACCAATCAGAGAGCAGCTTGATTGTTGACAGGTTTTATCAACATATCAAATTCTACCGTGTATGCTTCTATGCTGCAACTCAACTACAGATATAGTATGGCTGCCTTATTTTTTGCGTGAAAATAAATGCATATTTAGCTATATCAGTTTTGACGGTGGTGTTTTGATGGGTAGCCAGCAACTGAATATAAATAACACTCACTTTGATAATGCCAATGCTAGTTTCTTTATACTCTGGCTACTATAGACAGACTAGCAATGCCTATTGTTGTATGTGTGAATTGGTGTCTGCGCCCGTAGGACGCCTGCCTTACTGGTAGTTTTAGACACGTGTTAACCCAATAAATCCTGTATGCACTCGCCTGCACCTGCTTTGTGTGTTATTCTAGTGCCAAACACACAGATGCATATTTTGTTATCTAACCTGAAATGAAATCTATATATCTATCGATCAAAACAGCCAATTTTTGGGTGACTTACAGCATTTTTAATATCTTCTACACTGTACTTTCATCTATGAAATTTATGAATATATAATGAGCAACTTTATAGTAGTATTTCTCTTTATTTTGTGTTTTCCAAGATTATGTGGAAAATTTTCTATAAAGGTCAAATGGCCTTGTTGGTGTCGGTAGTGTTCCTTTGTGTGAGCGCTTTTTTGTGGACAGTGTGTTTGAAAACTTGTTATGCTTACGCAACTAAGCGATTGAAATCATTGAATATTCAGTAGGAAGCTGATGTTTTAATGGGGCATATATTTCTTCTCTCTATGTTCTTGTTTGGTTCTTAATCACAGAAAGATGGATAATAAACACAAATAACTTGCATATGTTTTGTCGCATTTGTGGAGATTATTTAACAAAAAAAACTACGACCCAACTAATACTACCGGTACTGCCTGTGTACATCTCACACTATCTTGCGTTATTTGATGAAATAATAAACGACATCACGTTAGTAGTTTGCGCATTATACACCTTTGCACGTTCTCCAACATGTTTGGATCTTTACATTAACAGTACGTCTGTTTTCAAATTTGTAGGATTACGCCGCTGCCACAGGTGATGTACTAGCATTGCGTGGGGAAGGAATACCTGCAAGCAACAGACACAGCACACCATCATTTAATATATGGAGGAATTGATTGCCAACCTATCACTACATCGGGATATTCTGGCTGTACTAAAAAATAGGGTACCAGTGACAGTAGCTGGAGTGTAATCATTGATTCATCCTTCTATCATACCATGCAATAGCGTCTCTTATGATTTTGAGATCTTACTAAAAATTGAAGTAACATAATCATAGAACACAGTACAGCATGTTGAAGGGATCAAATAAGGACTACGTGTGCGTATGAAAAGGACGTCTTCAACCCAAACTGCGATACTCTGCTTTGACCCTTCAGTGATTTGTTGTGAATGCCTAAGTTAATTGCCCAAACTACCGGTAAGCCTTTGATGAATTGAATTGTCTCAAAAAGAGTTATAAACATTAAAAGAGTTGTGAATACATCTGTCACGATTTAAGTTTTTGTTCATATTTGTTTGTCTGAATGGCATAATGGTTAGTGTTGCCATTTTGAAACAAACGCTATTGTCCTGCTGTTATAATCTAACTCACTGTAGAGGTTGAACCAAACACAACAGACTTTGTAAATGGTGCAGTTAACCACAGTCCCTCTATCCCCGGTCTGGAAACGACTAGCGTTCTTTTGTCTCGAACCGTGGTGCGGGTCAACAAACCGGGCCGAGGGAGTCAGGAAGTCAGACAGATTACAATACCGTCAAAATATTCATTAAAATCGGAAAATTTACCGTCATGCAAAGCGATACCTCATTGTATGACTTCACTTTGACTTCAAATTCGGGCAACCACAACTTAAACAAACATGTAAACAAAATTATCACTATGAAATTTGGGTTTTTTGAACCCTGATACGCATCACAACCAGCCTACCAACTCATAAACATCCAGTTCCTGCAATGTTCATTTTCTCGTTTTAATAAGGAAAAAACTTGGCGTGCCAATATGCTGACATCGCTAAACAAATCTTGTCAAAATGGCGTGGTTCATGTTAACGTAGTCGATCGAAAAACCTGTGATATTTCTGATTCTTGGGGGGTTCATAACAGTTCAAGTCAACTATACAACAACTAATGACTTTATTCTATGCAAAAGTATATAACAATGCTTCAATATTTGTATATAAATATAAATATAAATATTTTTTTTAGCACAGAATTGAGTACATTGTCATTTCAAAACGTCGCCATTTGCATTTACGATCTAAAAAGCATCCATAAAAGTCGCTCAATTTAACATTAATAAAATGCGGTGTGACAAATAACAAATCAGCCCACCAATTTTTAATGATATGTTTCGATCATAAAATGTCAAAATCAATGACAAATATTGGTTTCGCGCCGAGAAGTATGGTAAATAAAATAGAGTTTATTTCAATCACCCCAAAATCAAAAACAACAAATATCGGGGTAAATGTATGAAAATTTTTTGCGAAAATGTGTCGCTGCTGATGAATTAAAGAACTACTCACTGGCTAAAATATGACCTTATACAGATATCCTGATTAAAAAATTATGTTAAAAAGCACGAATTCTGGAATAAACAACTAAGTTGTAAAAAAGTACATAACACTGACGATGTCAAAAATAGTGGCCGGGTGCGTACTGATCACGTGATAATACTTTGCCCATACCCGCAATGCGCCTTTGCCAGGAAAGGAGGCCAATTCACACCTAATACAATGACCGTTTCCAGACCGGGGATAGAGGGACTGTGAGTTAACCAACCTCAGCTTATGCTAGGTTAAGTGTCAGAAGTGATTATGTAATTGTATACACTGTACAATGAGGGTTATTTTCATATAATGATTTTGTTTAATGTTTTCAATTTTTTTTGCTATGCTTCGAACATACTTTGCAAAATACGACAAGGCTTGTATTCAATTATGACATGCAAAAAAGTAACTACTAATGAATTATGTATTTATTCTAGTTGACATTTACTCTTCAAAAAGTATCTATAAACTTATTGCCGTCCATACAAATGTTAATTCCATACATTGAGGGCAGTATAAACTTCTGTTGTCGTAAAGAGCATCAGTGCTAAAAGTTCACTTACTCTATCTTTATGCGATGAAATTCATCCCACCCAACTTGTAAAATGTCTTATCTGTGTAATTACTAGTCTGACATACTGTAAAACATGTTGAAAAAGCGACATACTATTTTAGCGAATTGTGGTAAAATGACATAATAGCGAAATCTTGATTTAGCGAATCTCTTGGCTTTGTTGATTTCCTGTTTTCACAATACTTGTCTGTCGCGTGCCAAAACAAATGCGCAGTTATCACTTCCATAAAACAAAGAAAAACTGTCAAGTGTCATAAGGAAGCACTCCAGATTGTTAGGTTTTTTGTGTTGTTTACAAAGTGTGTGTGTGTGGAGAAAAAGACGTTGTTTGGCCGCTATTTTCAATTTATAATGAAGTCATTTATAATTAGTTCTCGCTAAATTCGCTAAAAAGACATACTCGCAAAAAAAACATGTTTTACAGTAGTCTGGGATAGTTATAATTATCCTCCAGTGGACTCCCTCGGACACAAACTACTGTAAAATCTGCATTAAAAGCCGCAGCTTATATTAAAATGGTACAATGCAATTTTGGGGATGTGGCTTGTATTGGAGCATCTATACATAAGAAATGGTGAATTTTTGGGTCTCAATTGTTCAAAAAGAATGTGTGTGGCTTCTAGTATAGAGTAGTCTTTTTTACATTATTAGTTTGTGTCTAATTGAATCTATCAGTGAGGGTGCAATAACTCTGAAGTACAGGATTCTTGTAGCACGACATACAGCAAGTTTTGATAGGGGTTCAAGAATATCTAGTTTATTCTGTAACGATACAACAGCTATTTGAGAATTGGGATTCAAAAGCTAGATGAGTATAATCATAGTTTGTTTGTTCAATGACATTTAAAGTATTTAGTTTCGTGCCCTTTCAACTGAACTATGTCAGGCAACTACGTTTAACAAGTTTGTTTCTGCTTCAGCTGGATATAATGTTGGTCAAATGTGTAGAGGCAGTTTAGACCGGCTAACATAATTAAAAAAAACAATAGGATTGGATCAGATTGGATTAACTACTATCTTACAAGAACAGAGTTGATACAATTTATCTGCATAATGTATCAAACTGAGGATGCTCTTTGACACTAATATTAGCTGTGTATAAAGTTGGGTATTCAGTATGTGTATGTAATATGTCAGTCAAATAGAGATAGATCAGTCTATTTCCCTGTATTACTGTTTTATTATTGCATTATGTTACCACATTTTTGGAGACCACAAATTATACACATAACAATTTTTCATTCACTCCAAGTTCCTGCGTTATGCATGAAATTGAACAAAAAACAAGACATACCGTAGTCGTACCATCGTAGTGGCATCAATAATCGTGAAAGTTAATATGCTATACACATTTTTGATGAAGCAAGGGTGTATTTCAATGCCATTTTACCATCTGAAAAATTGGTATTTACGAATTAGTGTGACTGAACATGGAAGGTACTAACGTTAGTACATTCCATGGTCTCAATATGGAAGAACCCTATTTCATATTAATTGTTTGCGCTCACTGGAATAAAATGGATGTGAATATCATTATAACGAGTGGTGGTGAATGAACAGTGCATTGTCTTGAGTTAATCTTTGAAACTTAGACACACAGATTAAACCTGTGTTGTTGATTTTGGCAAACACTACTGAGGCTGCTTTGCTTCCCTTCAGTAAATCAACATTTTAACCACAGTCCCTGTGTTTTAACCAACTTGCATGACATTCTATGTTATGTTGACTTTATCATATGAAAGTTTATAGTGCATTTCATCAATTAATAAATACATGTGAAAATCTTAATTTTCAACACAAATAATAGTCTCGCTACCTTAAACTAAAAAAAAAGAAGTTCAAAATTAACTTTTCCAATTTGAGGTAAACGTTCGATACGCAATTTTCATGCATTGCCCAAAATGTTTGAAAGCCCCTGTTGTACAATGTACCACTCACATCATGTTGATTTACTATATTGGAACTGGTATATTTCATTTATGGGGAGGGGGGGCAAGGGTTATTTTCGTTCAACGTAATTGCAATATTTGTTTGTTCGTACAACGTAAATTGAAAAAATAAATTCCGTAATTCTGTAATCACAGACTAGACGTACAACGTAATCAATGAAATATTTTTTTCTTACACTGTAAAAATGTGTCATTTTCTTGGTACGTACAAGAATTTACATCCAAATAAAAAAATCGTAAAGAATAATCCAGGGAAATTTTAGAAACTGGACTAGATGGCACAATTCACTACAAAATTGAATGTCAAGGCGTAAAAGGCCCTCTAACTGAATGAAGAGCATTACAAGGGTAATATGCGCATGCACACACGGCGCAGCAGTGGCGGAGAATTTGAGTCGGAGAGCTCTTCGGACCATTCAGTGTTCCATTTTGTAACACTGTAAAAACGTTTTTTTTCCTTGTAAATTGTAAAAAAGCCCTTTTTATTTCTCGTAAAACCGTACCAGCTACCCCCCTTGCCTCTCCTCATTTATTAATTTTAAGGGTCTCATATACACAAAGATGGCAACTTTGACTGTTTCACAGATGAACGAGTACAAACTGAGATGTTTCCAAGCTTTAATTAGGTAATTTTTAGGTGATTGGAAGGCATCGTAAGAGTCACCAGCGGTAATCATTGCAAGTCGCGTCCAGGTCAAACCTCATACTTGTGATTTCCATTTGAAAAGCGCATTGGATTGTGGGAAAATCAATGTTTATCAATACACATGTCGCACATGCACCGCGCGCCAACCACCGCGCTTTTAATTTTGTTTAAATAAACAATGCATTTGACCTACCCGGTACATAAAAAATTGTAACGTATACTATCGCAAGAATCGCCACATTTTAATAGAATGAGCTATTCCAACAATATATAGTGCACTTATATTTGTCAAACTTCACTGAAGATCGGATTTTATTCCAGCACAGTAGTCATCTGTGTACATGATATTTTACTATCGAAAATAATGTGTGTTTAATGTGAATGGATTTCTTAGAATAAAATGATTATCTGTTTTGAATTTCTGTTTATTTATTTGCTGTGCCTCGATCTGCACAATTTAAAAGTATAAGGGGCTGCACTTTGAGAATCGGAGATTTTTCTGGAAAAAAAAATTCTTGACTTTTGATAGAATCTTCTCATTTCGTTCAAACAATATAATGGGACCTTGATGCACGTCATTTTTGTTTCAGGCCGGATTACAAATGGCCAACTGATGAACATTTTGTATTAAGAAATACTGCTGCAGGCCATATCTTTGCCTAGCTTTAACTAAGACCATATTCCAAATTTATACATACATCATCTCGCACATGTATTTTTTTAACGATCTGATTGATTTTGGCCGAATGATTTTGATGTTAAAAATGCATCAAAATCAATCACTTCGGACTCGAACAGTTTATGTTCAACTGCAATACATTGATCATAATGAGACATTGATGCACTTCATTTTTGGGTCATAGATCTGATTCAAAATTTTGCATTAATATATGATGTCACAAAGCCACTTCCGTATGACTTACCTTGACTCCTTGCAATCATGCCACAAATATTGTATGCATTTGTTTCATGTTCTGGTTCAAAATGGCTGACTCAATTCATGGCACATAAACTATACATGTAAACCCCAACAAGCACCCCAACTTTTTAGATTAGATGTGGAGATTGAGACATCCGATTTGAATAATTGTGACCAGTTTTTTGAATCGGATATCTGAGTGTCCTTTGTATATTGAAAATATTTAATATAGTTATCAAGTAAAACAAGTTTAATTATAGCAAGTCTTTAAAGCAATTTATCTTTTTTGCGATGACAGATACTTGTTTTCGTGTGGATATGTATCTTTCAATGTCGGACTATAAATGTTTATACACATTCAAAGACTTACCTTTCGTGTTATCATTTTAAATAAATAGTTGCAGTAGTATATAGCGTAATCATACAATAATATGACGTATCGTAT